GCCTGCCGCCACCGCCGCTCCCGCCGCCGCTCCCGCCGCTCCCATGGCCGCCGCGGCGGAGGGAGAGGCGGCGCCGGGCGCTGGGGATGCGGCGCCCGCGAAGCCCGCGGCACCGGGCCCGGCCGCCTCCCCGGCGGCACTGGACCGGCAGACCCTCGTGGCCGTGCTACAGTTCCTGCGGCGCAGCAACCTCCGCGAGTCCGAGGAGATCCTGCGCCGCGAAGCCCGCCTGCTCGGCGACGACCTGGGCGCCGCCGCGCTCAGCCCCGCCAGCGCCGGGCTCCTGGGGGGCTCCGGCAGCGACGCGGACTCCGGAGAGACGCTGCTCGGCCGGGGCACCGGCGCTGCCGCCATCGCCATCGGAGGCAGCGTCGCCACTGTCGCGACTTCCAGCCCCGGGGTGGCCGCAGTTGCCTCCGTGCCGCCGGGGAAAGGTGGGGCCCGCGGCCGCTGCGGGGTCGGTGCCTCCTCCCGGCGGGACCCCTGGGAGGGGGGGCCCGTGTGCCGCTCGCAGCCTCGGGGTTTCCCCGTGGTGCTGGAACACGAGGGTCGGTGTCAGGTCATGCCCCCAAGAGTCTACCCCGGACTTCTGGGAGGTCCCTGTGTGTGTCATTTCCCATGCAATCCATGGAGAAGTCCGGATCTCCTGGAGTAAGGGACCAAGGATAGGATGTCTGTCGTGTTTGAAGGGAGCACTGTCGAAGTGAGAGGTGCTTCCCCTTATCTTTGTGTCCCATTTCGATTAACAGAGTAGCAGGAGACTCGATTTCCACTGTAGTTATCAGGGATGAGAACGGAGGTCTGATATACAGGCTGCATTTTGATGGAAGCATAAGGTGCTTGTGGATGAGGCATTCTGCATTTCTGGATCGAGTTGCTGGGTACCTGAGATGTCCTTTGGATAATTAATTTCTGAGTATTGTTAATCAAGGGGTTCCGTGAGGCAGCTTTACAGAATAGTATAATGAAATTTCAGGAACTGATAGTCTGAGTTCCAGTGAATGTACAGCATAAAGTCAGCTTGTTCCTGCCGCCACCTAATACGATTGTTTTTATGTAAAAGACAAGACAATGAAAGTGTGTAACGACTGCTGTGTAGAACAGAGCTGTCAGAATGTTAAAAGTGTCCCTGTTCTGTGACAGTTCCGAGGTGCTCTTAGTGAATTGTTCACTTAATGAACTTAAGTTGCTTTTTTACTGGATGCAAAATAACTATAGTGGGTGTGTCTTACATTCTGCTCCTCATTTGAGAGTTTCTAGCCCTAGTGGTAAAGATAAATTATTCTGGTGATGTTAGTGGCTTCTTCCTTTATGTGTATAATACTGGCTGAATTAGGCACTGGGTTAGATACCTTACAGGCAGCTGTTGGCAGGAAAAGCCCAAAAAGCTGCTGGAGGTGCTGGGAAAATTGGCTGCTAGACTGTAAAGTGCCACCACCCTTTCACCTCTGTGGTTTAGACTTGGTGCTGAACAGTCACACGGCGTGTTTTGCTTGTTGCCTCACCTCAACCCCCAGCGGGTTGTGGCCACTGTTTGCTCACTGGCTCTTCCAGGCTGACAAGCTCTTGTTGTTTGCTGATGGTTTTGCAGTCGGAGGTGCCGTGGTTGTGGAGGATCAGCCAGATGTGAGTGCAGTGCTGTCGGCCTACAACCAGCAAGGGGACCCTACGCTGTACGAGGAGTACTACAGCGGGTTGAAACACTTCATCGAGTGTTCCCTGGACTGTCATCGAGCAGAGTTGTCTCAGCTGTTTTATCCTCTCTTTGTGCACATGTACTTGGAATTGGTCTACAATCAACACGAGAGTGAGGCAAAGTCTTTTTTTGAAAGGTAATTCATTTTCGTTTGTGCATTTGTGTTATTTTGTGTTTGCTGCTTTGGTTAAACCTGTGAGCTACAGTAGCATAGGTTTGTATACATTTACATATGTACATATTATTTTTCTTATTTAAAGTTGAAGAGATTTGAAATCTGAAGTAATGATGCCATCATGGATTGCAGTAACTGTTCTTAAATTGTTTTCCAGTCTCCTGTAGAAAGATGTGCAGACTACATGCTTTTGAACTGTCCATTGGCAGATTTTGAACCATGTTTATGGTGTGCTGATGGACTCCTTGCTGCAAAAGTATCAATGAAGAGATGTTCCATCTTTAGGGAAAGATTGTGGGGTCATTTTTTAGCACTTGAAAATTGCACTGAGATGCCAAAGTAATGTATTTGCTGATATCATAGCATGTACATTGAAATTCTTCAAATGAGATTAAAGATGTTAATTTATGGCTAATCTATAGTTGTCTGTGCTCTTGCTATGTTTCATTTGTTTATTAATTGAAAATAAAATTAAATTTAATTTGTTTTTTTGATTCAGACCAGTTATGAAATACTTCAGTCCAAAAGGATAACTGTGTCTCCCTCCACATGATCAGCAAAAATGGTTCTGTAACGGTAAATAGTTAAAATGCCCCTTGCCACAACTCTTTTATAACAAGTCGAGTAAAAATGGAAAACTCTAAACATATGTTAGGTATTAGATAATGCAAGTGGAGAGTGAGAAACATGTAGACTGTGAAATGTATATATTCATATAATGAATCAGACATAAAGGCATCCAAGTAGTCTTGTATAATAAAAAAATCCCCTGTACTGTATGGTACCACAAATTAGGGTTTAATTTCTGGAAATAAACATGTAAGCATAATTATTTACTTCAGGCAAGAACCCTTTGGGTGTATGACATCCTGAGAGGTTCCATTTGTGTATTCTCTTCATCTTGTTTTTTAACTGCTGAATGCTCTTAGTATGCAGGGTAAATCACTGGTGGATCTTCCCCTGGATGAATTTAATTTCATCAGAAAAATAATCCCATGTGTAGTCAGCAGCTTCCAAATGGTCCTTACATATATGTTTTACATTCAAGCAATGTAAATAAGTGTGCCCTTAGGAGATAATGTTTTCCTAATAAACCTTTGTTAAATTGTTTCAATAGGTTTCATGGGGATCAGGAGTGCTATTACCAGGATGACCTGCGTGTACTGTCTAGCTTAACCAAAAAAGAGCATATGAAAGGTAATGAGACCATGCTGGATTTCCGAACAAGCAAGTTTGTGCTGCGTATTTCCCGTGACTCTTACCAACTCTTGAAGAGGCATCTTCAGGAAAAGCAGAACAATCAGATCTGGAACATTGTTCAGGAGCATCTCTACATTGATATCTTTGATGGAATGCCTCGCAGCAAACAACAGATAGATGCTATGGTTGGAAGCTTGGCTGGGGAGGCAAAACGAGAGGCTAATAAAGCAAAGGTAGGAGGCAAAGATTTTTGCACTTCTATAATTAAACAAATTTCCCTAGTTTTTTAGGGAGATCCCATAGTATAGACTGACAATTGTAGCTTGAGATCTTAAAAGACAGTATGAACCGAACAAAGGAAGTGAACTGTACATATAGTTGTTGACAGGAATAGAGAGATCAAAGTATGTCACTCTTTGGTGGAAGAAACTGCTGAACCTTTTGAGAGACAACCTTGTGTCCAGCCCACTGAAATAAACCAATTCGTGAATTACTCTGGAGTTTTAAAATGGACACTTGACTATTTGGCTTCCTCTTTTGTACAACAGATGTAATTTTTACTTGCCACCGGTTGTTACTGCAAGGGCTGTTTGTGTAATACTACAGTACTATACAAATCAATTAGGTAAGGTGTAGAGATTCCACCTTAAGAAAGGGCTAAGAGATGGTGGAAGAACTTATAGTTGTCCAGATCAGTTGCTAAGTAAACCAGAAAAACATGTACTACATTTGTTATGGGCTGAGCAGTAACATATGTGGTAATATTAAACAGAAGTTTTAAAGGGGCAGCTCTATTGCTTGGACTTTTACACTGAAAAGTTGCCATTAAAAAATTAGTTTTTGGTAAGAACAGCAATTACTGTTTTGTCTTGTGTGTTTTATTGGCTTGTAGGTTTTCTTTGGCTTATTGAAAGAACCAGAGTTTGATGTGCCTTTGGATGATGAAGATGAAGAAGGAGAAAATGAGGAAGGAAAGCCAAAGAAGAAAAAACCTAAAAAAGATAATGTAGGGTCAAAAAGTAAAAAGCAGGACCCTAATGCTCCTCCCCAAAACAGGTACCAAGGAAACGATGCATAGGGAAGCCTTTAAAGTCCAGGCTTGTTGTGCCAAGTCTGCGTGGCTGTTCACATGGCATTTTTAGCAGTTGGCTATTTCAGCTGTACACAGCTTTAGCCATAAGACTTCTAAGGGAGGTAATGGAAACCTTAGCATGTAACCCTCTGTCATTGCCCTTCAAGTCAATCTAGATTTCCCTTGATAAAGTTTTACTTAGTTACCCACTAATCTTTTCAGGTCATAATCAATTTATTAATTATCTTGTTCCTCTGCCTGTCTGAAATTCTTGAAGCTACTGGCTTGCTCTCTCATCAGTTAATCTTCTACATAATCTTTCATTTTTTCTAATTCTTGTTTCTTATTTGAATATTGAGGTATAGGGTTGCATGGGAAGGTTTCACAGTATTTGTTTGGATTAATAATAAGGAAGGTGCTTTTATTTTGTAAAAACATGTGCTTCTTG